GGAGTTTTACCCACTCCGAAGTTTCATATGAACAAAACTTCTATGTTTGACTCCTTCACTTGGTGCCAAGAGATTTGTACTTACTGTTGACTGGTGGTCTGAACATGGTGCACATTTCAAAAGTTGTTTCTCCACTTACCTCTTAAGGGCATTTGAACTACTATTTGAAGGGTTTTGTTGTTGTTGTTGTTGTTGTTGTTGTTGTTGTTGTTATGAAGAGTACCTGGTCTCTCCCTTTAATCCAAAGCTAAAGCATTCCTCCAAATGGGGTAGGAGAGAGAATAGCTAACAGGCTGAGCGTCATGTTGAACACAAGCTACTGTGTTTGAGAATCAGAGGGGATTTCAGGAAGCCAAGTGCATGTCTATACCCGCAGAGTTCCTGAACCAGTTGTTCTGGGGCAGGCCAAGAATGGGATTCTAACAAGCAACGCTGTTGTTCTGGGAAACACCTGGAGTTGATGGCCTTGCAGTCTCCTTGAGAAGATAAGAGGCCATGTGTCCATGATGTGAGGCTGTCCTTATCTCAAACCTCATTTACACACAAGTCTATTCACCCTTAAGACAAACATAAGCTTTATTAAGACATCACTTGATACCATAATTCACTAGTTTTAACTATAAAACTCAGGACTTTTTAGTACTTCAGGAAGAGCCCTCACACCAGTGTGAAGTGAACTCTTGCCCCCACCTCCCCCAGCCCCAGACAGAAATCTATATCCTGTTTTCACAGGTTTGCCTTTTTGGACATTTCAAGTAAATTAGAATAGTGGATTTTGTGCTTGATTTTTAAAATTTGAGGGTTTTGGAGAACCTGCACATTGTTGTATTCATCAACTCTTTAATACGCCAGGCAGTATTTCATCTGACTGGGTAGCTATAGCATCTATTCATATAATATGCTCATTTTGTCCAGCTCTTCATCTGCTCATAGCCACTGGCGTTGTTTTCTAGCATTTACGATTGACACTTCCTGAACATGTTTATGCAAGCCTATGGCTAGATGTGGGTTTTCATTTCTTTTGGGTGTAACCTCAAGCATTGAGTTGTGATCACATGGTAAATTTATATTCAATATTTAAAGAAATTGCTAAATTCTTTCCAAAGTAGCTACACCATTTTATATTTCCACTACCAATGTATGAGGGTTCTACATGAATCTCTAGATTCAATTTATGTGAGGGCATATGCGAGAATTTAAGATCCCCATTGGCTGTGTTGAGGAATCTATTGAAAACACTGTTCCTTGACCACGGTAGCAAAGGATAATCTGGTCAACGTCAATTTTCACATTGACTTCCCATAAGAATAATCTGGGGACCTTTCCTAGTGACAGTCAAACTACAGTTCAGATCATGAAAACAACAACTCTGTGGGCTTGGTTGAACAGGCACCTGGCTTCTAAAACTGTCAGGTGATTTCAATAATCCAGCTATTAACCTCTGATGAAAAAAAAAAAAAAACTATTTTGTTGTTAAGTCATCCTCTGAGATAATGAACCACACACTTAGAACTGAATAGAGACACGGTCTACAGGACACACTGAATTGGACTGGGGACATTTTACAATCATAGAAGGAAAAAAAGGATGGACTGTCTGGCCAAAAGTATCTTCTACAATTTTCCTTACGGACTTTTCCTACTATAATTTCAACCATTTGGCCATGAAGTGGAGAATGACTCATAAAAGAAAGGGTATGGGTTGGAGACTGATGTAAAATCCTGTCTGTTTCTGACACTTGAGCTGTTTGAAAGTCAGTAGATAGTCAGAAAAGCAGGGGCTGGAGTGACTGATGGGTGCCATCTGTCGGGGAGGAGGTGTCCAGACCCAGGTAGAAACATCCTACTTTCATTCTTGCAATGGTCCTTCCCTTACTTCCAACTCAACACAGCCTCCTGCTTTGCAGTGACAAGCAGTTCCTGGTAACTGGTCTTCCAGGAAGGCCCACTCTCCCGCTCCTGTTTGCTGCATCGAGAGTCTCTCTCTGGATGATGTATCATCTTCAGCCCTCTTGTTCATGTTCTTCTTCCTTAGCAGTTTGCACTGGGTCCCATGTCTTAAACAGCCACGCTTAATCTTAGAAGTCCCTTGACCCTTTTGATCACTCCTCACATCTCTTTGCTTCTTGACTAATATTAAATAAGCTTGGCACATGGTCCGCAGGCCCAGGAATAGACTGGCCTCTGCATCTAGGCAGGCACGCTGGCCTTGCTGTGACCAGCTTGGTCCCCTTACTTTTCTGTGACTTTTCCTTGCCTCCCACCATTCAGCTCACATTTCATTGCCCAGGGCCTCTTTCCTGAACACCATGCCCAGACTGCTTTTCCTTCCGAGGTCTTTCCTAAGTGTGGACTTGCACTCATCCAGGGGTTCATCTGCTTATACTTGTCTTGACCAGGCTAAGCTCCTGGCCGCAGGGGAACAGCACTCACACCTGGTTTCGCTTGTGTTTCTTCATGGCTCAGATTATTTTTTGTTGCCAGGACCCACAGAATTGAAGTGGAAAGGGTATTAGATTAGCCATCACCTGCCCCATTGTTATCTCCCTGAGGAAATAGGAATGGGATAGTCAGAGAAGAGTTCAAGCAGGGCTGGATGGCCGTGTTGGAATACTAACCCTTACTTCTCTCTAGGCCACAGATCTTCCCTCTCCGTCCTCCCAGCCACTGTTTAGTACAGACACTGCAGCAATATTCTCTGCTCTTCCTTCCCCTTCTTCCAAAAATAGTTTAAACTACTTTTGTGTGTTTCAATAGCACACAAATAACAATAAAATTCAATAACAAACATCAAACCACTGGTGGCAGACAAAAATAGTATCTTGGATGAAAGGGGTTGAAGACATTTTGAGGACTCCCTTCCCTTATCGTCACACACACCTACCTGACAAACGTGGCCAGTGGACTCCAGGGCAACTCTTCCCCTGATCCACCCAGGCTGAAGCCCAATCAAGAGAACAACTATGCAAAAGGCTCATACACCTCATGCTTCCTCTCTGGAAACTGTGAACTCACTAGAGAGAGCTGCTGTCCCCTTTCCTTCGTTACAGCACCACCAGGTCATCGTTTGGCTATCCAAACTGATTTGGATGTTGTCCCTAGGTGGCTTTCTCTAGCGGGTTTCTTTCGAGGCAGAATAAAGCACGGAGCGCCCTCTGGTGGTCAGATGTAGAAACGTCTCAAGTAGGAGCGATTCATTCCGTGGATGAGAATCCCTGAGTTCCTAGATCCCCCTCATCTCAAAAGTGGTTAAAACCACCTGACAAGATGGTTTATATCGCTTTATAACTACCAAATCTTTCTGAGGTTATGCTTATGGCTTTACAGGCCCTGTTGCCACAGAGCCGTGACACGATGTAGAGCGCGGCCGTGGTTTGTTTTTCTGGTACACAGTGAATAGGGAGAATGGAGGATCTGAGAGAGCAGCCAAGGTGCCTCTTGGGAGAGGAATACTGAGCTAGCTCTACTTGACATCGCCAGTTCTCTTTGTAACGTGTTATCTAAATAACCGAGAGGGCAAGGCGGGTCTCCTGGGTGTAGTGCTGGGACACGGTCCTGTGACTAAGGGGCAAGCGATGGAATGTGGGCAATTGCTAAGCTTGGGCCGTTTGCACAGCTATACATATAGTTTGGAGACAGAAGAATGAAGTGGATGACATATTTGTAGTACGTATGAGTGTTCAAATTCACTCATCAGGCAGCCATATTAGGAAATACAAATTGACTGTGGTTGAGGTGAGAGGAGATCCGAGCTGGTGAAATGGACTGGCCATCACTGACTGGGCACCAGCAATCAGGCTTTTTTTCTTCTTTTTCTTCTCTTTTTCTCAAAAGACTGGTACTATCTCTTTTTGCTTAGTCCCTAGCCTTCTATTAAAAAGTCTGGATTATGCTGTCTTATCCATTCTTACGTTTAGTTTTGTGGTGTCATAGGCCTTTGAAAAATAAAACAAACAAGTCAAAATGTCTTCAAAATCTTCGGAAATACAGGTTTGAAGAAGTTAAAACTCATGAGGTCTGGACTGTTTAATAGCCGCTTTTCTGGTGGCAATCTGTGGAATTTTCCTGCTGGGTGCACAGATCATCAGGTCATTATAACTGTTACACCTGGACATTCATGCTCCTTTAGGAACATGATCGATTACAAGAGGGAAGGACATTAAAACCACATCTAACTTTTAATACAAAATCAATAGTAATCTACAGAAGGGACTTCTTCATACACAGAGACTTGTAGCATCCATAGTTATGGGAGAGCAGAAATGGCACATTTATTTATTTATTTATTTATTTATTTATTTATTTATTTATTTTGTCTCTGAAGAGACTGAAGTAACTTTTGTCTCTGTGCTTTCTGATGTCTAGGCAAGCCTGTCTTATCATTTGTAATTCCAGTAGATAGGCTGGTTTGTGGAGAGTAAATGAGAAGACATGAGAGTATTGAGAGCCTCATTTGGGGGATCACTGTAGAACAAGTTTTACCTGCATGCATGGAGGATGCCAGGTGACAAATCCTACTGCACTCCGTTGGCAAAATGCTGAGGATTTCAGCCAGAAGCTGGCTAAAACCGTGGGTTAAAAGGTTCACTAGGGTATGAGATAGGTAGGGTGTTAGTTGTGGGGGCAGAGAAGGAGGGGAGGGAGAGGGACCTGGGGTTGACATGTAAACTATTTTCTTTCTAATTAAAATTTTAAAAAAATTTTAAAAAGTTCACTATTGCAGTTTCACAGGGAGAAAAAAAAAGAGGCAAAACCCCACAAAGGCATCTGGATGTTTTTCAGTCCTATGTACTGCATTAATGAGCTTACTTCTCACCCAGCAGAACATAAACATTGCTTGTGTGTTTATTTGCACGTAACACCTATAAGCATATAGCTTCTACACTTTGTGTATATTTACACATTCAACAGAATATCTACATATAAAAAGCTTTACTTAAAATTAAACTTGATGCAAGTTATGAGAAACCAATTTATTGGCAAATGAAATTGAGCATTCTTTCAACCATAGGTTGTCATAGAGTTTTATATTGGAGGTAAGCCATTTCATACACATTGTTTATGACCAATATAGTATATATATTTATTTATTCCTTAGACTGCAGGTATAATCTTTTTGATGCTGGCCTAATTAAGCACTTGCCAGATTTTGCAGATTCTGGAGTGTGCCTGTTGCAATTTGTATACACATTGCTGGATGCTGCAGTTTGAAAGCTCATATAGGTATAGTGAATAGAGTCTCACTATTCACATGCTGCTGTCTGCTTTTAGTTCTACAATCTTTTGTTTTTCCATCAATTTCCAACCACAGCATTTTTCTTTTTCAACATGACTTGTTTGGCTAGAAACCACAAAAGACCACTAAACCATTATGTGCTCCAGCCGATGACAAAGCTTTTCTTTGCTTTTGATATTTATGGGGGAAAGCCCCTTCAAATACACTCAGCCTTTTAAAAGTTACTTTCCAACAACAGCAGTAACAGAGGATGGAGTGGCCCAGACTGGCTGATATCCAGTGCAGGAGTCAGGGGATACTTATTGTCTGAAGGCACTGCATGTGTCTTGCCCTGCATTTTCCAGACTAAAATTTGAAATCTAACTTGAGGGTTTTGTCTTCCATTCTTTCCCTATGGCACAAACACCGGAAGGTGTCACAAAAATGCAATGTTTATGCCCCGAACAACTGAACACAGAAATAGAATAAGAAGTGGAACACTGCTGCTGTACCCTGGAGGGTTAAGAAGCCTAGGAAGTAACAGGAGCAAAGAACAGATGACAGTCTCAGTGAGCATTCGCGGATGCACCTGCCATAATTAACTCATGTAGCAAGTATATACTGTACATACTGTTCCTAGCAGTCTCCCGAAAAGACTAACAAGAGCTAGACATAGTCACGAGTTTCACAACAATGTCCACAGAGACACTGAAGCCCTAGAAAACACTACGGTAACACTCCCCACAATCACAACGGAATTCAGATTTAGGGTTCAGCTGAGGAGAATAGTGTCAACAAAGTACTTGACCACAGCGCAATCACATACACAGCTGTGTCCTCTGTGCAGTGTGTTTCATGCATCTTATTGAACTGTATCCCACACAGGGAATAATGTGATCTATTGATGATGTTGAACTTTTTTTTTTTAATCAGTTCCAAGGAAATTGAGAAAACCCACTCCGAACAAAAAAAAAAGGACGCACTTTGCACCCCAGTTCATATCAACGTATCGTTTGACTGAGTTAAGTTCTTGCTTTGTTCCCATAATATTCACATACAGCAGAAAACATCCTTTCTACCCATATGCCCATGGAATGAGAGGGATGAGAAGTGCTCAGCAGAAACCTTCCAGAGAAATGGGACATTGACGAAGAGCTTAACGACTTAAACAAAGGAGTTCATGGCGTTGACAGGTGAAGGGGCCTCTGAGCTCTCATTTCCCTCGGCTGGTTCTTTCTCTTTCTTACCACTGTATTGTCCGATAAAGGAGCCATCCTCATTGAATTGGCCATTCACCCCCTCTCCATAGTCAACCAGGCTATCATCACTATCTTCCTTTTTCACAGTCCTGTCTGAAGGTGTTCGGCTTCCTTTTTTCAAAGGCTTGTGATCTTCTGCATCGCTGGAAAAAAAGAAAACATTTTGGTAAGACTGGCATTTAGCTAAAGTGCCTTGGTTTTACAGATCGTGCATGCAAATTATGAAAAAAGCACATGGAGCTGCTATGGCCAAATCTAACTGCCAAGTGGATTCCAGTGGCTAGCGTGGTGCTGGAATGGAATCAGGCACAGAAATGGTTGAATCGTGGTCTGCAGCAGAGAGGATGGCTTTCCGATAGGGCGTGATAATTTAAATGAGAGATTCTAAGGCCTGATTGGAAGGCAATCCAGGAACAATCACGAGCATTAAAAGGGAGGGGGGGATTGAGGACAGGTGAAAATCATCACTGTTTCAGTTCAAAGGAGCAGGGCAGAGTTCAGGACAGTGCCGAGTTAGTGTGTTAAACTGTAGAACATCTCTGATTCCTTGGATGTGAATGGAGCATGATTTTGGTTACATGTGAAATATGAATTGTTTTTTCCTGAGCCAGAAAGAGAAGCAAAATCCTGCAGTTCAAATAGTTTTGTTATTGAGTGCAGGCCAGATCTGTGAACTTCTACCTTACCTTTCAAAAGACCTAGAAATCCATTAAAAGGAGGCAGGGGAAACAAATGAGAACAGCCTAAGAAGAAAAGCACAATCCTTACACGGATAGGTCACAATTCATTTTTCTCTGAAGAATTTTGGCCAATGAGTAAAGATTTATTCATTTGGAAAGACAAACACTCTAACTTAAAAGCACTATATTTGAAACATAAATAGCCAGTCTCCAAACCCTAAGGTGGAGTGAGTGCTTCCAAACTCACAAAAAAAAAAAAAAAAAATGTCCTGTCCACTGCTTAACTGGATTCTCACCTCTCCTCTGGGCTATGCACACACTGAGGGCGGTCAACGTTTGCACTTTAGCAAAGCATTATAGGAGTCTATTATTATTTTTGCCTATTTCTTTGTTGAACCCTTAAGCACAACTTCTGAAGGCAAAAGAATATTCACTGTATTTAAGAATGTGCACTGACATGGCCACATATGTTACTGAATTTAAGATCACCCACTAACATGGTCATATGTATAAGTACAGTGACTGACTCCTTAACAGGTAACATTTGGGGGGAAATAGAAAAAATTACCAGCAACAACCCGGTTTGAAATAGGAATGATACACAATACTTGAACTAAAAGTCTTGAAGTACTTGATGTGACAAAGCTGTCACTGTAACATCAGTGTTTTTAACAAAGAATGGTGATAAGATTATTGTTAGCAAGACTGAGTTTTTTTTTCCCCTTGTCAAGCTACAAAGACTTAAACTGTCTCCTTAGGTGATACTTCCTGCTAGCAATCTCTTATTTTTCCCTCTAAGAAGAATACATCAAAACTTTCATGTGCTAGCAAAAACAACCCATAAAGATAATATACAAGTACACATTCACATCTAAATAATCTATACAATTGGTGACATCAGAGATCTTGGGGTGCCCTGTTGATGGGGGCATTTCAAAGGACACAACACCCACAAAACCCAACTTATAAAATACAGCTTACACAACATCTTTGAGAATTAGCTGTGAACTTCTGTACTTTGCTTAAATACCTCTAATATTTATGCCCCAGAAGAATTCAATAATAAGCAGATTTTTGCCACCTGAGTTCCACCTATTATTCTACTTAATAGAACTAGCAAGCCAAGGAATACATTATAGGATATGTTATTATGTCATTTCTTTGATCCAGCCTAGCCTTCATCTAATGTTTACTAAGTACCTACTCTAAGGAAGATGCCATTCTAGGCACTGGGGACATAGGAACAAGCAACAGAGACTAAAATGCTGCCCTTACATCCAGTGGGGTAAAATGCAGTTAGCAAACATCTTGGTAAAGAAAATTACTTATGTCAGGTGATCAGTACTGCAGAGAATTGAGAGCTAAGTAAATGGAACAGAAGGAGATAGGAAAAAAGGAGGGAGGGTTGACATAAGATATCCCTATCCCTGGAAGGTCTTGTTTAAAGGTACCATCTGATCCACGGATCTAAGAGCTCACCCTGTGGATGACTAGAGCAAGAGCAATTATGGCAAAAGCAACAAGCAGCACAAATGATCTGCAGCAGGGCAGGCTTGGCATGTTCTAGAAACAGCAAGGGCTTGCTGAGGCTGGAATTGAATGGGTGGATAAAAAAGAGAGTAGTTGGAGGTGGCAGGGGTAGGCCAAGGATCCATGGACATTGATGAGCCTCTGTTTAAGAGATGGAGGCTCTGTGGGTGGGAGGTATATATCCATGGGTGAGCATTGTGGTCTGACCTATATTGTTCTAAAAGCACAACTCTGCCATCAAACATTGACAGTAGCCTGCCCTTGAGAGGAGGGGTTGGTAAACTCTAGCAAACTTGAGATACACCCATTTGTGCTTTATTTATTGCCAATAGCTCCTTTTCTGCTACATCAGCAAAACTGCTGAGTTCCAGCTGAGACTATGTGGGCTGTAAAATCTAACACGTTTACCCAGGGCTCTTTAGAAGTGTGAGTCTGCAAAGCTCAGCAGTGGAATTGTGAGATTACTTCTGTCATTCAAGAGAGAGATGGCTGTGGTTTGGACCAGGGTGAAATGTTGAAGAAGTTTATACCAAATGCTCAGATTCTGGTCATATTTTGGAAAGAAGAGCAAGGTGGACTTCCTGGTGGATTGGCTAGGGAGCAACAGGCAAGGTGATGGCACCAGGATGTCTGGCATAAACAAGAAACTTGGCATTACCCCTTTTCACTGTGCACCAGAGCATGCTTGGGCGAAGATCTGAAGTTTGGTTTGCACATGTCAAAGTTTGTACATGTCAGAAGCACCACTTCTGCAATAATGTTATGAGACTTTTATGAGAATGATACATAAAATCAACAAAAATGCCTCAAGGAAGTCAAGCTATAGCCTGATAGAATTCATGAACATAGACAAGGAGACCTGAACTTGTAACCAGCCAAGTGGAGCCAACCACTAAAGAGATAAAATATCATATCAGGTTGGGTCAAGTTCAGGAATGAAAGTTTGGTTTAGTATGAAAATACAATTTATTAAATTTACCATTTGCACTTTTGTAGCCAGGAAAAAAAAACTATGATCATCGCAGTAGACTTAGAAAAATGTATATGACAGTGTTCAACACCCATTCATGAAGAAAACTTTAATATGCTAGAAAGGGGGAGTGTTTCTATTAATCTGTTAAAGGATGTCTACATGAAAACTACTGTGAATGGAATCCTTGATGGCCAGTGCTGAACTGTTCTGTTTAGAATCAGAAATAATAGTAAGCATGGCTGTTTTCTCCTCTTTCCTCTCTCCCTCTTCCTTTTTCTCATCCTCTCCTTCTTCCTTTTCTATGTTTTTGGAGACAGGGTCCTACATAGCCCAGGCTGGCCTAACACTCTCAACCTTGCTATGTAGCTGAAGATGACCTTGAACTCATCTTCCTGCCTTTCCTGCCCAAGTGCTAAGAATGTACACATGAGCTGCTTTCTACATTCCTAATGAAAACTACCCAGGAATATCAAGCAATGTGATGAGAAAAAGAAATGACACTTTTCACACACCCATCAAATTGTTGGTAGTCCTCTGTATTCCTCACAAGATTATAAACTCCCAGTAAAGGACCAAGTTTTATTGTGTTCAATTCACCTAAGGTGTGGCATACAGTAGGAACTCAATAAACATCTTTTGGGTAAATTCCTGATAAAATTACATTATAAGAGACCATGAATACTTAAAAAATGCTTTAGAATTCTAACATTACATTTTCATTCCTTCTTAATGTTATAATAGCAGACAAAGCATTGCTTTATATTATTCTTTCTTTAATACTGAGGATGCATTTTAGGGAGCTCATTCATTCCATTCTTAGTTGTGCTTGGCTCACATCCATGAAATAGTTACTAAAATAAAACCCACTAACAGTAAATAAATCTAATAATGCATCTGACATTCCTGCAGTGACTGTCCTACTATGATCAAACTACACAACAGTGTTATTGACATCCATACACCAAAATCTTATGCTGGCACACTGTAAAAGTTCATCATTATTTGCTTACAACCAGTTCATATTTGTGAGCACAATAAGCTGAAGTATGTAACAAATGCAACACCACAGCTTGTATCAGCCAAGCTTTGGCAAGAGTTAGCAAGCTGGCAGCAGCGCTGTGGTCACATGAATGACAAGATTCCCATGGCAAAATCCTCCATTTGGCCAGTAAATCATGGTTTGCATAGCACAAGCATATGGTTCACAACCTAGGCTCACTGTTGTTTTTAAACAGAATGCATCTAAAGAACAAGGAAATACTTACATAGTTGGCTGCACTGTTTCTTTGATTTTTCTATATGCTAGTAAGGATGCAGATCCTACTGTCTGTATAATTAAAGAGACAAACAAAGAAAGCTGCAGGCTTCTGAGAGAGGGTAGCTGCTTGGGTTGGGTGTTGGAGTGAGGGTATGGGGATAAAGCATATGGAAAAAAAATCAACTTTGGCTACTACAGGAGTTCCATCCCTCTTTGCACTATGACATTTTTGTCTGGCTTGGAGCCAACCAGGTAGAATTGTTCCATCCTCAGGCTGGAGAATGTGTGAAACACAAATGGAATTAATTTACATTTCCACAATAGTCCTAATTGTGTGTCAGCATGAGACCAGCATTATAGTCCATTTTCAGAACACAGGAGACTAAGAGTCAATAAGAAATACAGAGCTCAAAACATCTAGAAGGTGCAAAGTAGAGAAAGGACCCCGGTGATTTAGGGAAGAGAATAACACTCAAATGTACCATCAAAACAAATAATTCTCCATAAATAATTGGAACCGTTTTCATAAATTATGACTCTCAGATTAAAAAGGCCTACATGGAACAAACCAAAGGGAATAAACCTGAGGAAGCATCTGAATGCCTAAGGATAAGGTCACATAGACAACAACTATGTCCTGGAATTTGGGAGATGTGATTTCACATGAATCCCCACAAACTTGAAAATTCACTCAAAATCACACCACCGAGTCATGCTTTGAGTTGAAGACATCCATCAGAACTTTATTTCCTTTGGCCCCTCCAGGATTAATGTCATTACAAGAGTGACAAGTACTTTTGTCTTCATGCCAATTGGAAAATCTCTCTAGCCTGAGAAACTTCGGCAAAAACCGAAGACAGCCATTGAAAACGTTTCACAGACACAGCACACACATGAATTAATGCTGAGGCAAAGAAATGAGAGCTGGCAGATGGAAATCAAATTGTGACTATGAAGATAGAGCCAGACACTTGCTATGTACTGCTCGGAAAACAGACTCATGCTGGAAGTTGTCAGGTCACTCACAGAGAGCACAGAACTAGGAATGAAACCTCTGAAGATGTTTGGATTCTTGAAAATTTGTCAAGATGATGAAAATTAAGATGGATACATATTAGGCATCATAAAGGAATCAGAGGTAATGACCAAATGAAAATGGCCTCTGGATTCCAAGCTAGTTCATAAAACACAACCTTGACTTGAATCAAGGTTTAGTGCTGTTAGCATAGTCACATTGTCCCAGGTCTTGGCTTCACCAATATAATTGGCTACACCAATATAACAGTAAGGTGATATTTTGAGGGCTTTGAGATGAGCAGTACATTGCCATATTTGCTTAAGCATGATAAGAATATGAATCCACCACAATGTGGAGAATGTATGAAGTGCAATGGCTTATTTCTAATTCATGCAAGTATATATTTTCTATATTGAAGATGTAGCTTCGTATCAGTAAACAAGGGAGTGGTGTGCATATCCTGTATGAGGTCATAGCCACAAGAACTTTACAAGGATGTCCTTTAATTAGTGTCAGCTCACCTGCGTGTGGGAGAAACAGGTAGAAAAGTGAGTTATACCTGCAAAGATTTCTACTTTTCCAGAGTGAGACGCAGCTGCCTGGATTATGCACACTGAAGGCTGCTCTCATGTGCCATGGAAAACTGGTGATGGTGGGTGGGTGCTGTCTCAGGTTTTCAGACACTTTTACCTCCAGACCCAATACTAGGCAACAACATAACCCTTGCAAGACATTGTTCTGCTATCATGAGCTACAGAAATTCTGAGAGCTTTTGGAAACCATTGGCATTTTCTGTTGAGGAGGGGACAGCATAGGTACTGAGACCCTGTAGGCCAGACATGGTCGTATGTGCACGGACACTGTTGTGAAAGCTCATACTGAAACATACGGGTTTTCTGAATCCATTTACGTGTCCTACATTGGCATTGGTTGTCCCCTCGTGATACTGACATGGGAATCAAAAAATGAACTACAAAGCCAGGTAGTATCTGATGCAAATATCTATCTACAAAGATGGCTTGGAAATCACAATAGTGAATCTTTGGGGGGGGATTCCCAGGTAGGGTTTCTCTGTGGCTTTGGAGGCTGTCCTGGAACTAGTTCTTGTAGACCAGGCTGGTCTCTAACTCACAGAGATCCATCTGCCTCTGCCTCCTGAGTGTTGTGATTAAACGTGTGCGCCACCACTGCATGGCTAGTGAATCTTTTATTTCACCAAAAAGCATTTTCTTCTGTCAAAAAAAGCCATGAGATGTCCTTCATATATATTTAGAAGAATATATCTTATGTCACCAAAAAACTAAGTTATAAAAGGTATTTCATAAATAGAGTTATTTCAGGGTATTATATACATGATAGAACTTAACTTTAGCCTCTAAGTAAGAATAGTTTCATGCCAAGAGACTTAAAAGAAGGTAGATGGATTATGCTAAATGTTTTTCTTAATATGTAGTTAAATCAAGAATGTAGTATTGGCATTCAGTGAGTTAATGTACTGCATGATTGACTATGACAGCTCTTAATAATTAACAGCTTCAAAAACAACCTACTCCTAATTATCTAAAAGTTAGGGGGACATGCATTATTTAAGAAAAAGCATTTTCTAAATCTGAGATTAAAAAGTGTTGGGACTGGGCATGTAGTTCAGAACTAGAGTGCTTGCTTGGTTTGTGCAAAGTTCTGTGTTTGGTTCCCAGCACACACATATACATCCTGTCTCTGTCTCTGTGTCTCTGTCTCTCTCTCTTTGTCTCTCTGTCTCTCTCTCTCTGTCTCTCTCTCTGTCTCTCTCTCTGTCTCTCTCTCTCTCTCTCTCTCTCTCTCTCTCTCTCTCTCTCTCTCTCTCTCTCTCTCTCTCTCTCTCTCTCTCTCTCCTGAGGTAGGGGGGCTATGAGCTTGGAGCCAGCCTGGCCTATGTAGGGAATCCCAGGCCAGCTTGAACTACATAATGAGATTGAATCTCAAAAATAAAATGAAACAGATGCAGATGGCAGCCATGCTAACACTGGTTTTATAAATGCACGTTTCCCTCACACTGTAGGCTGTACAGAGTCCTTCTAGTTCTCACTGCAGCACAGTGAAATTGCTGGCCTGAAGAGCACAGCTCCTGTCCCTGGAAAAGGGTGGGATATAGTCTGACTCTAAACATGTAACTATAGTGGAAAATTTTATGATTCTTATTTTTTAATGGAGTGGTTTTTAGTGATGATATTTTAATCAAGAAGGGGGGCTATGTTTTGACATGCACTTGTTTCTTAAGTAAGAACTGCCAGGCAGGGCCCACTGTTCACTGGGTTCTGCTCTCAGAACTTGGGGGTGTCTGAAGGTAGTGTTTAGTGGGGCAGGGAAGGCATGACCAGAAGAAACAAGGGCTCACCTGTATTCTCCAAACGTTCCATCATCTTCCTTCATGGGCTGGATTTCAGGGTCCGCATGAGCATCTTCCTTTTCTTTAACTGGAAAGTTTGAATTGACATTATTATCCATTGATACTAAACTTCCTTGCTCAATGTTTGCAGGGGTGAGCTGAGACATAGAGGAAAGACAATCTCTACAGAAGTAGCTACTGTGTAGCCAGGCATACAATGTGGCCATGAGAATGCTTTGTTATTTACTAGATCAATTTTTATTAACATGAGCCACTTCAGTCTTTCTCCCAATGAAGAAATGATTTCTAAGTTTCCCGTAGTTCTTCTATATTTTCCAGTCTATTTATTAGTGTATTAGTAGTAACAAACATTTTTATATGTGAATTCTTTTGTGGTGGTTAAAAACTTAACATTTTTAATCGAAGGATAAATGGTCAAAGAAGATAGGAATTTGTCATCCTTGCCGGGACCATAATGTAATGTCACATGTTTCTTGTATTCTGGCTGTAAAATTGTACATGCTGCCCCCCCTTTGTCTCCTATAAACTGGTTTTAGATCCTACTTCAGTGTTCATAACCCTTTGGAGTCTAAGGAAGAAGGCTTCCTTGGAAAAGTGACTGGTACAATTCTCGTGTAGCCCATGACCTTGTGACAGTCCTCATAATGTAAAGAGGTGTCCAAATGGTTCAATTAAGTAACTCAAATGTATGGATAAGAAGATATTCTGTTCCTACTCCTATCCCCACTCTTCTTTTCAGGGTAGCAGATAAATCTGCAGCACTGGGAAGCATTTCAAAGCCCTCTCACCTGGATATTTACCACCCTTGTTTCTTCTAATGAAGCAAACGATCAGCAGAATTAAGATGAGGAGGGCGACAGCACACATTAGACCTATGAACCAGCCCTGGGTCGCGATATCCACTTGTCGGCTTGCCATCGCTACAAAACAAATCAGTGGCATCAGTAGAGACAGGTTAATGGCAAGGTGAGATCCATGCTGGTCTCTTCATTAAAAAACAATTGCCTCAGTATAGGAGCTTTTATGTGCTTTTCACAGGACCCCAAATTGGAATCTGCCAATCACCAATGAGAAATTGCATACTTAACTCTGAAAAAGCTTCACTGTGTAAAAAATTGAAATAGAGAAATCTTTATGTTAAAGATTAAGTGCTGCCACACCCTGATAAACACTGGATTCACACTTACTTTAACTATACATTCTCAGTAAAAATGCATTTACAAACCAATTAAAATCTATTATTTGGGGGATAAAATGGATACTAAATACGATAAAAATATAAAACTGAATTTTAAACAGAACAGAATGTATACATCTAACAGAGTATTTTTCCCTTCAAAAGAAACCACCTTGGGAGACTAAAATGTCAGTGGAAGAACGAAGCTATATTTTCAGTGTTTTGGAAATCTTAAGAAAGGAAAAGAAAAGAAAATGACCCATACAAGAACAGTAGGCACTGATGAACACCAAAACTTTTATTTTACACAGCACCTCAATTCTGATTAAAAATCCTGAGAATATCAAATATATTGTTAAAGAATCAGTATTTGTTATTGTTTGGGCTCTGTTATTCAAAAACTTTAAAATACATTTTGATCAATTATTGGAATCAATGTACAGTTTGAAGAGAAAAATACTCATTTACATGTATACAGTTCTTTATGCCTTCATCTACTCTGTTTGAGGAAATGATGTGAAACTTTATTCAGCTCCTCATAGTATGCAAAGCTCCTATGAACAGTTCAGATATTATATAAAAGTGTCAACTACAATGGACAAAGTGCAGCATTCATTGCTATTCAGACATACCCACAAAAATATGTTTAAATAAGTTTGCACGAATCTTTTATTAAAGGCCTTTGCTTTTTCTTTTTAAGCCATAAACAACATAAAAGGTTTTCTTCTTTAGCATTCATCCATATGCCTATATTTTGCCTTTAATGTGAGTTTCTTCTGAAAAACTTTCACCACTGGGTTAGATGTGCATGATCTCTAGATGCAGAAATAAGCATATCCCAGGTTTCCTATATGTACTAAAAGAAGCGTTTAATTGTGTCCTTTTGTCACAGAAATTAAAATGGTTAAAATTAAGTATGAAATGGAATGTAAAAAATGTCTGGATATATGTTTAAGAAATAAGATGGAAGTGGAAATATATCATTTGGAACATAAATTGGAGCCCAATAACCTTTTCCTAAAGTCCCCTCTGTGCCTCATTAGTTAGAGGAGTTTTGAGCTGTAGTGTAACCAGGCACATGTAGAACTTGAGTATAGACAGCTCTGGCTTCCATACACATGTCACAGTGATGATGATGATGTCAGTGGTGGTGATGCTGCTGCTGCTGCTGCTGATAATGATGATGATGATGATGATGATGATGATGATGATGATGATGACAGAAGCTAACAAGTTGGACTACTCCTCTATGCTAGGAACTGTACTGAAGGCAGGATCTCTTTTAATTCTTACAAAAGTCCTCTGAAGTAGGCATTATGATAATCCCAAAGCAAGAGAGGGTGAGAACAAGAGATTTCCCAAGAGTTGGAAGGGACCTTTGTGCATCTGTCTTTTTGTCCTGTCTAGCTTCAGTTAGTGAACATAGTAGTAAGCTATTTAACTGTCCTGATCTGATATAATGCATTACTGAAAACATGTCCAGACACCAATGTCTGAACATATCATAAACTGTTTTAGGGACATTCCATTCCAGAAAAGGTAAAAGATTTGAAAAATTCATTACATTCTCTTTGGCAAAACAGTCTTGCCAATTTGTACATGGCTTTTGTATGCTTTTATTCAAAGCTGAGCCCCAAACCACATGGCAAAAGTTATTTTAATCACGGGAGTCCTTGATTGTGGAATGCTTAATGAATTATGGCATTGTTACAAATAGTTGCAGCATTTATATCTTTCATCAAATCAAATAAGACTGATGAGATAAAAAATGCAAGATGTGTGAGTATTAGTGCTAACACTGTCTTCCTCAAGGGAGATTTTCCTAACTGAACTGCTTCTCAGCAGTTCTACTCAGTAGCTATGAAAAACTGGCTGCTTCCTGGATAACTGGCCAAAGATTTTCATGTTAACTTTGAATGTTTGCTTCTGTATCAAAGAAAAAAATTATGTGGATTTCTCCAATCTATTATTTAAGACCAGCTAATCACAAGTAAGCAGGTATATACATGCATTCATTCATTTGCATACATTCAGAGACAGAAACACACAGACACTGATGAAACCTAGGGGTCTTTTTTCCTTCTTGGAAAGAAGGGTTTGACTGTGAAGTTTGAACACATGGTCCCTCTTTTGACAGGTTGTCAAACGTTTGGGAGGTGAAGCCCTGCTGAAGGAAGTGGAGTTTCATTGCCTGGTCCCCCAATCCTATCTGCTTGTGTTCTGTTCTGTCAACAAGTGAGCAAGCAGCCTCAGGCTCCTGCTGCAATAGCCACTTGCCACTCCCACCACCATGCTGTCCCCACCATGATGAACTGGACTCCTAAACACTGACCAAAATAAATACTTCATTCCTAAGTTGTGTCTTGTCAGGTCACAGCAAAGAGAAATGTGGCTGACATATGAGGGTATTAGTTGGAAAATGAAAGTGGATTTTCTTCTCATCTGGAATTTCTATAGTTAAATCATATGCTTGAATTATCCACAAGGTGAGAAATAAAACTAACAAATCAAAAGAGTATGCAAATACCAAATAAGGCAGACAAGTGAGGCCTGCCTTGATGCCTAGAAGTTTCAGAGCAGTTTACTGTTCTGATTTTGCTTGTTGTGACATGGATAACATGTGCTGCATGGTGGGAGATCTCTGAGGACAGTGCCAAATCACAGAGTGAGACATATGATTACTGTTTATGAAGAAGTCACAAAGCATGAAAGTGACCTTTCCGGTTAAAACAGTTAGAAATGGAAAGAATGAGCTTGAAAATGCCTGGAGAACCAACAGAAAGGAGGTGAGCCCAAGAACAGATCTGTCTTAAATTCGTGATTAAGTGAGAGAGGGGTGCCACCACTGAGGGGCTGAAATATGACGGAGGATAGAAGGGCAATGTTAGGGAGAGATCGGGGCAGGAACAGAGCACCATCCTCCCCTCCATCCTGCTACTTTCTGTCTCAGTGTACAGTGCTTGACACAGTCGACAGTGTCCTAGATGGAGATTTCAAAGGTGGCAATAATGCCATTCACCAAGAACTCTAGAGGAAACATTGAGCTGAGGTTCCTGGGATTGGCAAAGTGAAGAGAGAAGAGCAGCACATGGACACAGAGTTAAAAAATTAGCCAAATGTTATGCTTCCCCATTGAGTATTGATGTCCTAGACTTCAAAACCTAGTGCTGGGAGGGAGCCAGAGCAGCCCATAAAGCGTTTACATGGTGTGCATCCTATAGCCCTAAGGACAGAGCACTGCTGCCTGAGAGGATGGGGTTTATTATTTGGGCCATTACTAGAACTTAATCAAAACTTGTTCTTTTTAGTTGTCAGTGAGCATGTAAATGGTGGCAATTACTGGGTCTTGCATCATCCTACCACCATCAGTGGCACATAGCAATTTCCCATGTCCCACTCTTTCCATTCACTCGTTTTGAATAAAACTAGTACTTGCTACTGGGATGGTAAGCATCTCCCATCAAGGAAAACATTCTTTTGTTGTTTAAAGGAGACATATTTGGTTGTGCAAAAGGACAAACATGCTGCAATCTGATTTTGAATGCAAATCTAATTTATCTGTAATTTGGGAGGACATGAAGTCCTTAGAGGCACCATTAACGCATAAAGGCTAATTGAACCCACTGTTTCTGGGACAACCTGTTCCTCTTGGGGTATGTCTCTGTGGCTTTGTATAGTGGGTATGGTTAGGGCTTCTCTTTGGGACTGGGGACAGACTTTTGGTCCCAGCTCTACCATACTACAATTGTAACTGGGGCCAGTTCTTCAACTCTGAAGATGGGCATGTAGTGTAAGCAGGCAGTAAGAGTGCTCACTTTAGAGGGATGTTATAAGCATGGAATGAGGAAACCTCTCATGTGTCATACTACCTGCTGTATTTTTATTCGTATTCTAGCTGTATGTCTACATGAGCTTTTAGTATTTTGAAATTAACAATTATCAGTAACAACAAGCAAAATTCTTGAAGAGAAAACTGAGTTGTTTAGAATCCCCATTTTAGAATTAATTCCTTTCCTAGCATATGTATGTAAATGGATATGAAAAAGAAGGGACAGAATAACAGGATTTTTCTTAAAACATACTGATTTTAGCAGATGTATATTTAGAACACCTCATTTGGTATGTAACTTAGTATTAACTTTGGTTTCTTTCTCTTTCTAAATTTTTTCCTGACTAATTCCAAATGATAAGAAATGACTTTAAAAATCATGCTTTGTTAGTGAAACTATAACCCTCCATCCTGCCTTTGGTTTCTATAGGGGTAGGTGTGTGATATCTCCTTAAGAATGTATGACATGACTGAGCAGAAGATGAATGAATGAATCATAGGACAAACAGCTCCTGTTTCAATCTGTGTAAGGAGATTATTTTCTATATTGGCAGCAAATATTTGTTATTATTATTTACATTTTACATGAAAATTTCTTCTTAAAACTTTCCTTTTACACTAGTGAACTCTGAATAACATTCACAAAACTAAAACACATGGAACAGGCAGCTTTTGCAATAAAATACAACACCAGACTTATAGAATTTCTTTTGCACAAGCTTAGTAACACTATGTTGATCATCCAACCAAATTGCAGGGTTCTTCTGGGTTATAGTCCATTTTGATATAAAGAATTCTGACACTCTTAGATATAATTCCAATGGAAAAAAATTCAGACATTAATGTCAATTTAATTCAGAGAAATTTTAAATATGAAAATTATTTAAAAGTAATTACCTAAATAATAAATTAAA